GGGGGGGGGGGGGGGGGGGGGGCGATGGGTCTTTCTCCTCCCCCTGCTCCCTCCCCCCCTCTTCCTCAAGCGGTAGAGGTAACAGTGTTAAAAGAGAAGAAAACTCTCTTCGACATCCCTAGTGCCCCCCCCCCCGCCTTTTTCCCCGGAAACCGCCTTTGATCAGCCTGTGGTTTGCTGTGTATCTCCAACTCATCTCGAAGTTCATTACTTCCGAGTCACAGCGAGGCAGTCTACCGATCAGGCTGATGCCTTACTGTAAACTGAAACTAGCGAAATTCAGAATCCAGTGGTTTTGCTTAGCACATTTTATCAACCAGCTTTTTGTTCCCCTTGACAACCAGAACGAAAAATTGCTGGTATTATTTTGTTCGATTGCATGCATCTCTTAATAATACATCATAGTGCGCTATCCGAGGCACATTGGGATGGCTGATACTTTGTACTTCTTTAAATTTTGCAGAGTAAGACAGATGATGCTGTGGATGTGGACGATGAACTTTTGGATCAGTCATTGTCTGTGACCGGTGAAGAGTCCGCGAAATCACTGAAAACCTCGACTCATGACAAAAAATCCGAGGATAATTTTGGCAGTACAGCACTGCGGCAGCTTGAACTACTTGCTGCGATGAAAAGCAAAAAGAAACCGAAACCTGTTGAGAAAAAACCCAGTGGCACACACTTTGGATTCGATCTGAGGGTATGTCACATTGCGCTCTTGCTAACTGATTTTACACTTCTTTTTCTGAAACCCTTCACCCATTTTCTACACTGACCTTGTCTGCTTGGTTTCAACGAAATCCAAATTCCAGGCAGGCGAAGCACATTTTGCTTGCTCAAAAGAATCGCTCTGGAAAATTCCATAAAACAGCATGGATTGTAGACTTTACCGAATTAAAATTAACAAGTCCAGCAAACTTATCGAAATCGTTATCACTAGCATCATTATTATCGTTGTCAACGTCAGTGCTTAATGTTGCAGTTTTTTGGAGAGGCAGGGGAATGCACTTTACGAAGCAGAGTTGAAAATGATTTTTCAAGTTCCGCAAGTGCGCCTGTAGCATTTAAAAAGCGTGGTATTGATAAGGCAGCAGGGAATATTACAAGGATATCATTGCCAAGGTGTGAATTTTTCGCAGAAATATATTAATTACTGAAAAATGGCTTTTTCATCTTCCTTCTCAGGAAGATTAACTTGTTACGGTTGACAACAACAAATCAAAGCATATAGCCGCATAAATTCTTTTGTCAGTCGAATAATTCAAAGATGAGCACATAGATACTGCTTGATTTTAAGACTGTTTTTAAAATTTCATAATTACAGCATGGAAGTGAAAATATATTATTCAGCTGAAGACAAAACACATCTCACTCGAACTCTTCAACCGTAAGTGCAATGTCTATTGCAAATTGCTGCTGTTTTGCTAAAAAACATAAGATCCCACATTCTCTTAGCACTGCCAAAATGTTCACAACAAAGCATTCTCCTTGTCAAGCTTTCGGTGTTTCTGTATTCAAAAACTAGTTGTAGCAAACCCGTCGGAAAGCCGGCAGGAATTGAAAAGCCTGCTCTGGTTGTGATAGTATTATTAGGCCGCTTGTTTGCATTTAAATAGTCCAGTTTTTGAATGGATCATAAGAACTGATAATGTACTGAATAGCACGTCTCGATTTTTTTTTTTTTTTTTT